AGAAAGAGAAATGAAAATGGCCACTTCTGCAAGTGGTCATGTGGATGCGGATGGTTTTAATGCCATTCTTCCTCCACAACCATGCCATGTTCCTTTTGCCTTTAGAGCCAGCGTGTCGGCAGGTTAGGGTTCTTTACCTCACAGCACGACCCTAGCCTTCATTTCCAGATGATCAGACCTCTTAGTGGTCCTTACTGTGTGTGACTGCCATTGAATTTTGAACTGAGACTTGAATAGAACTTTTCCACCATTCTGCAAGTCCATTTGCTTGTGGGTGATAGACCATGGAATTCAGGATTCTCCGAATCACTGGAGAGCCTCCTATATGCCTTCAATTTACATTCTCAAGGCCCTATTCTTCCCTGTTAAGGCCCTTTTTCTGATGTAAGAGACTCAAAAGGCTATGATTTCAACTGATCTTGTAATTTGGCAACCCCATCAGGATTAAAGTCAGACTTTCCCACTGTACCTGAAAGGGACACATTAGCACAGTCCTAGAAGGCCCCTGTTCCCCTGATCATAGCCTGAGAAGAAAATTTAAGCTTCCAGTGCAATTAGAACTAACTTTTGAATTATTCATGACACTTGAATTCTGCATGCCACTCTACCCCCGACCCTTGTTCTCACAAGATACTAATTCCAGGTAAGCACGGGGGAATTTTTAAAATATCCTACCAGTGTTTCATCTGATAACACTGCTGGGTTTATCACTGCCATCTTACCCAAAAGGTTAAAAACCAATGCTAGATGCCCATTTCTTTACATGTCTGTGGCCCATTTCCATTGTACAAGGAGTATCTGCAGGAAATCAGGCAGAAGCCTTTTGTCCCTGTGGTTACCATTGTTTCTGTATTGGTTAAGGGGTTTTTAGCAGCAAACAACAGAATCCACTTTAGCTAGTATGTATAGCTATGTAATGTACTAAGTCACATTAAGCAGTTCACAGAGGTCAGAAGTTCAGGTACAGAGGTATGAAGCCACAAACAGCATCTGGGTGAGAACAAGTCTGTGGCAGTGGATGCCCTCCTGCCCCTGCTACCAGCACAGTCTTATAGCTCACTGGGCTGGTGACAGGCACAGGATGCCTCCACTAGCACTTCTGACATGGCCTCTTCCGGAAGATGACCATCTCTCCACCACTCTCTCCAACATAGAGTCTCTTCAGTATTTCTTTCTTCATGTCACTCTCTTCTAAGCTTAAATCTCACAAAAGAATGTTTGATCCTAGGCCCTGGTCACATAACTGTGTTAGCTTGCAAAGAAACTGGGAATGTAGGTGATGACAGGGTCCACAAGGTGGGAAATTCCCTTAATACATGAAGCACATCCAAAACATGAACAATGTCCATTACCACGTGTGGTTAGTCACCAATTTTACTTAGAACAAGATTGTTTGATTTTAATATATTACACCGACCTGACAGTACATGTGAAATCATGAACAGAATCAGAGAAAGTACTTCCAGACATTTTTTGATTGAGCCCCAAATGTCTACTTCCCCCATATGGAAGGTATAGAATTACTTATTTCCATTGCACATATGAGGCAAGTGAGTCCTAAGGAAGCCAAGTGCCCTGTATAATGCTATTCAAATTCCTGCTGAGATGTTATGAGATGAGATGTTATCAGATGCTGAGATGTTTATAACTTGTATGAAGTTAGACCTAGTGATCATGGTTTTCTGATCTTGGAAGTGTAGAGTAATCTTGCTTACAATATTTTTTAATGCTGGGGATATGCCCATACATAGGTCAAGGCTGAAAAAGTAGATAGACACACAGGAATGCTTAAAGACCTACTATATTTTTTAAGGGAACTATGGAAATTGTACACAATTTAGTAAGGAAACAGCAACTGTAATGGGCATCCTTTGTTATCTGCTCAGCATCTATTCACCTTCCTCAAATAATAGTGTTTACTGGGAGAATTCTCCTCCCCTACATGTTTGTCTGTGGGGTTGGCTGACCATCTGTCGTTCCCTCCCCTAGCCCTGGAGGAATACGCCGCACAGCTCTGACCGTCAGTATATCCCGTCTCCCTGGTTTAGGGATGGCCGAGTGAGCTCAGTCTTTGCTGGGGCTACTGGGCAAGGAGGTAGGGAGAGTGTGGGCACTGGAGACATGGATCGGTTCAGCCCTGCCCCCTCATCACCAAGAATTCCCACTAAATTTCTTTTGTTTTTGTTTTTGACTTACATCAGTTTTTGTTAAGTCGCTGACACTTGCAACTAAAGGAGTTTTACCAGAAACACCAGCAAAGCTTCTGCGTGTGTGGCTTCACAGCAGCCTTTGGGTGAGTCATTCGGCCCCTTCGAGTCAAGGAAGAGGGAGGGCCGCCAAGGCCTCGTAGTCCCAGCCCCTCCCCATGGCATTGCGGACTCCTCTGATGGGCCGTTTCAGACACAAGCACAAAGTCAGTCCTTCGCACTCACAGGTACACCGACTCAGTTAACATTCTGCACGGAAGGGTGACGCACCACTTCACAGAAGTAATAAAGTGAACTGAGATGTTCCACACCCAGATGCCCGGGCTGTTGTGAAGAAGCCTCCTTTAAGTCCTTGGAAATTTAATCACAGACTGAGAGCTAACTATAGGAACTAGTGCCTTTTCCAAAAAGAAAATTATTCTCCCAGTGAAGTGGGGTGTCTATTGAGTTCCTTGAGCATCTCAAAAAAAGGCTGTATACAAAACCCAGTTCTTGCCCTGTCAGGATCATCTTGGTGCATGAGGCTATCTCTGGTGTGGGAGGGAAAGATCTCTAGTGGGGTGCCAAGAACACAGTCCAGCTGAATGAAAGCAGTCTGACAAACAAGAGTATGTATTAGATAATTGCATTTATATAAAATTCTAGAAAACGCACAACAACTACAGTGACAGAAAACAGACCAGTGGTAGCTGGGGACAAGGGTAGAGGGAAGGAGGGATTGTAAAGGGATACAGGACCCTTTTGGAAATAATAGAAATGTTTGGTATCTGATTTCACAAGTATATATATGTATATGTCCAAAACCATCAAATTGTGCACTTTAAATATGAAAAATTTAATTCATGCAAACCTACCTCATGAAACTAGTGAGAAGAAAAGAGTATAGTACCAAACTAAGTAAATGAAGCATGAGATGAAGAACAGACTGAGCTCTGAGGTCTATAGGAATTTAGTGGAAGCCTTTACCATACTGAGTGAGTCCCTTAAACCTACAGAAGCTTTCAGCAAAGTTATACAATATTCCAGAGCCTCATGTATCTTTAAAGGCCTGGATCAGAAGGTATTCACAGGCCTGAGGTCCTCCTCGGGGCACATGGGCACCTGAAATCCCTCCCGGTGCTGTGGCTCCTGCACAGCTGCTGGGGCAGTGCCACCTTCACTGAGTGTGCATGTCATTTTACCTCATTAGCTAATACCTTACTTTATTTACACCAGTGGCTCCCAACCCTTCCCCCCAGGAGCCCTAAATTATACACCAGGGAGATTCAGTGACTCTAAGGTTCAAAAGTAGCTCATATTTTTTCAAGTGATGAGTTTGCATTGCATGTTGGAATAATTAGCAGAACTCCCAAAGAGCTTTCACGCCTGGGCTGCCCCTACTCTTCGTCCAGTCCTTCCATTCCCCATGTCTGGCCCCGGCCCCTCACCCACTCCAGCAGCAGCAGAGAGGGGCCATCATGACCATGACTGCTGCTTTTGACCCTGGCATCATGTTGCTTGTGATCATGGAGCTGAATTTTCCTTCCATTTGTTTCAGACCACCCCCAACCCAAATACACACCCTGTATTCCACTTTGGGGTTTTGCTTTATTTTGCTTTTGGCTGAAAGACTAATAAGTCATTCAAACAGTTATCTACGATCTGTTGTTTAAATCCTCAGAAATGCTACTTTCAGTGCTGACCTGTGAGTGGCTAACATTGCAGATTGTTCAGTGTGATTTACCCATGTGGGTCCACAGCAGTTTGGCTGAGTTGGGCCTGGGGAAACAATATATAGGACTCAAAAATTTAGAGTGTAGGGAGGACATGAGGACAAAACCAGGAGCAAGATGGGGTGCCAAGTCCTGGTGGGAGTGCTAGAGATGGGAGCAGAGGGTGTGGAGAAGCCATATGGGGACCTCACCTGCATCCCGGGGCTGCAGGGTCACTGTCTCAGTGGTTCTGAAATGTGGCGTGCTCTGGATAACCTTCTTCTCTGCAGAACATGCTCCCAGGAGCCTAGAATCCACACGTCTTGTTTCCATGCAGAGAAACAATTCAGATTGAAGTTAAGCTTTTAACTTAACGATTCACTAATCTGTGCAACTTGAAGGGGATGGCGTGGAGCCTCGCCTTTGCTCTGTACCCTCATGCAGTCACACACACACAAGACTCATTTGTGAAGAGATGTCTTTGAAATGTATTCACTGAAGATAATTATAGAGGTCTAACACTTCTGCTCTTCAATTAATGCTATAAAATTAATGGTCCTTCATTTTTACATCCTATGCAAATGATGGTGTCATCTCCAAATGTAAGCCTCTCTACTCACACGCTGAATATGATTAGTGTCCCTTTAAGCTGAATTAGAGCATGTGACCTTCCGGGGGTATGGCAGGAGTGAAACCTTAGTGTGCTATTTCCAAGGTTTCATTATGATATGTCCTTAAAAAGCAGAATTTCAGAGTTGACACCAAAACACGTTTCAGTGACTGATCTTTTGGGGTTGTGGCCTTAGGAGAGGGCAGAGAGGAACTGGAGGACAGCTCATAAATCTCCTGTTTTCAGCTTGAGATTTACCAGGCTCCACAATAAGCATATTTTCAAACAAAGGAAAGATAGATTCCTGTAACATAATGAGGCAGGTATAATAGAAATGCAGTGGTATTCAAATATTGTACCCATTAGAATATCTTTTTGCAAACAGACCAAGGGGAACACTTGGTCAGGGAGTAGACAGAGAACTAACAAAAATGGCTGGCTCAGAGACCCCAGAAGGGAAGAACTAAGATGTTACGATTCTTTTATTTCAAGGACTGGAGCATCGGGGACTCATGACTCTGTGGCTTCTGATGAGGACGGTGACATATTGCAGCAATCATCGTGTGCACATATTCATTCCATGAGGTATATTTCTGCACTGGAGGCAGACTGGGTGAGTTGAAAATATTGCATAGCTCAAGTGCGCTCACGCTCAGAAGCAATAGCCTCACTATCGTTTGGGGAGTTTTCACCAAATAATGGAATACCATCTGGTATTTGGGTCCTAGGGAGGGTGTGCAAGTTGAAAAGCCCTGGAGACTAGGAGAAGTAACAGAAGGGACATGAAGGAAGGAAAACAAAGAAGCTTGACCATCCCTTCTCAAATGGGTAAAAGGGAATTATAAGCAGATTGAAGATGCCAGGGAGGTATTAGGTCCAGATTGATGAATTCTGCCATTTCTGGTAGCAGGATGGCTTGGATTGGTGGACATCCTGAAGTCAAGTTCAAAGACACTTTGCCCATTTATCCTTTGTGATCTACTGAATTGGGAGAAACACGAACATATGGAAAACTTCTCTGTGGAAAACGAGAATTCCTTGGCCGTAGGAATTCTGATTGCACTGAGAAAGGTGGAAGTGTTGAAAAGGCAGGTTTAAACAGTCTGCTGACAGCCATGGGCTCACCCTGTGAGTGACAGGAGTTGCATATAGGAAAACTGCTGAGTTTTTGCACCCGGACTGTAGCATTTCAATGAAATGGGAAAGTTTTCTAGTGTGGGTGACTTCACTTTGCACACCTCTGCTACTGACTTCTGGACAAGTGGAGCTGCACCAGGCAAGCAGTCTCACTGCTGTCCTGCTCTGTTGGAAGAGAGAGTGCAGAGAGACGCCCCAGCACATGCTGATGGGTGTGCAGGATGAACACGGGGGTGGGATCAAAAATGGGAGCTGACTTATGTACTCATAATGAAGGAGAAAAAATTGTATTCACCATGATTCCTCTTCAAGAGAACCCTGAATATATCTGGATACAGAAACACTTCAACAAGCCACCTGGGGTGGAAGGTGAGACCCAAGAGTATATTTAAGCCAGAAAGTTATTATTAACTGCTCTGCATGAGATAAGAAGAATTTGTGACAATCATAAGAGGGAGAGGAGAGGAAAGAAAAGAAAAAGAAAGGGGAAGTCGGCAGTGGTGGTGGGGGGCAGGTGGTGTGAGAGAGGCCAGCAAGAAGTAGAAGGCTTCACCCTGTGTGAGGGGGGCCTGTCACCAGGGCCCTGGCCCCAGCCCCCAGTTCTTAAATAAAGTGACAAAGCTCACAAAATGCTGGGCTTGAGTGGAGTTTGTGGAGACCCTGAAGAACCTGAGTCTTGGGTCTGGTTGAAGGGGTTGAAATAAAGGCTGCACCCATGTTTGCAAGCATCAGAGGGGAGGAGCCCATAAGCATGTAGCCCTGGATGGTCCCAGGAATCACTTTGCACTTTAATAGGTGGTGGACTTGGTTTTGAGTCAAGTCTATCTTATTCTCTCAAAGGCAGGGGAGGTGAGGAAGCTGATATCAGGTTTTTGTATAGATAGTCAAAGCCAGTAGAATATCTGAAGCTGCCTGTTGATAGTATATTTTGTGTGAGATATGTTATCTAAAATAAAAGGAAATATTATAGAATTTAATGTATTTGGAAATAGGGCCTTTAAAGAGGTAATTAAGGTAAAATGAGGTCATATGGATAGGCCCTAATCCATGTGAGTGACTTAGAGATAGGGCTGTCAAAGGGGTGGCCCAGTTCATCTGAAGCAATTAGATGGGGGCCCTAATCCTATATGATGGGTGTCGTGATTGGAAGGAGAGACACCAGGGTCAGGGGCTGGGTGTGCCCAGAGGAAGGACCATGTGAAGGGGTAGTGAGAGGGCACTCATCTGCAAGCGAGAGGGAGGCCTCAGAGAAAACCACCCCTGCTGACACCTTGACCTTGGATTTTCAGCTCCTGGAATGTGAGAAGCTAAGCCACTTGGCCTGTGGTATCTTCTATGGCAGCTCTAACAACTAATAAAAACTAATTCAGAAGGGAATGAGCCAGCGCTGGAGAGAATGGGCCGGCTGGAATGAATTCCGGGCTCTTGTCGCGCCTCCCAGTGAGCATCTCACTCCGCTTTAAGACCCCACCTTCTTCTCCCCTCCCTTTCATTGTTCCCGCTACAACGGCCTTCACGTTGCTCAGATTCTGGTCCTGGCAATCTTACGTCTGCCAAAATATGGGGAGAAACACTTCCTAACTAGTGGAGATTGCGAATCCTCTGAAGCCACTCTGGACTTGCAGTCTGTCTGCTTCCTGGCTTGTCTTTGTTCTCTCTGGACAAAAATAATGAACCCCTGAGGAGGCCCAGGGATTTAAAAAAATAAAGATGTCTTTGAAATGTATTCACTGAAGATAATTATAGAGGTCTAACACTTCTGCTCTTCAATTAATGCTATAAAATTAATGGTCCTTCATTTTTACATCCTATGCAAATGATGGTGTCATCTCCAAATGTAAGCCTCTCTACTCACACGCTGAATATGATTAGTGTCCCTTTAAGCTGAATTAGAGCATGTGACCTTCCGGGGGTATGGCAGGAGTGAAACCTTAGTGTGCTATTTCCAAGGTTTCATTATGATATGTCCTTAAAAAGCAGAATTTCAGAGTTGACACCAAAACACGTTTCAGTGACTGATCTTTTGGGGTTGTGGCCTTAGGAGAGGGCAGAGAGGAACTGGAGGACAGCTCATAAATCTCCTGTTTTCAGCTTGAGATTTACCAGGCTCCACAATAAGCATATTTTCAAACAAAGGAAAGATAGATTCCTGTAACATAATGAGGCAGGTATAATAGAAATGCAGTGGTATTCAAATATTGTACCCATTAGAATATCTTTTTGCAAACAGACCAAGGGGAACACTTGGTCAGGGAGTAGACAGAGAACTAACAAAAATGGCTGGCTCAGAGACCCCAGAAGGGAAGAACTAAGATGTTACGATTCTTTTATTTCAAGGACTGGAGCATAGGGGACTCATGACTCTGTGGCTTCTGATGAGGACGGTGACATATTGCAGGAATCATCGTGTGCACATATTCATTCCATGAGGTATATTTCTGCACTGGAGGCAGACTGGGTGAGTTGAAAATATTGCATAGCTCAAGTGCGCTCACGCTCAGAAGCAATAGCCTCACTATCGTTTGGGGAGTTTTCACCAAATAATGGAATACCATCTGGTATTTGGGTCCTAGGGAGGGTGTGCAAGTTGAAAAGCCCTGGAGACTAGGAGAAGTAACAGAAGGGACATGAAGGAAGGAAAACAAAGAAGCTTGACCATCCCTTCTCAAATGGGTAAAAGGGAATTATAAGCAGATTGAAGATGCCAGGGAGGTATTAGGTCCAGATTGATGAATTCTGCCATTTCTGGTAGCAGGATGGCTTGGATTGGTGGACATCCTGAAGTCAAGTTCAAAGACACTTTGCCCATTTATCCTTTGTGATCTACTGAATTGGGAGAAACACAAACATATGGAAAACTTCTCTGTGGAAAACGAGAATTCCTTGGCCGTAGGAATTCTGATTGCACTGAGAAAGGTGGAAGTGTTGAAAAGGCAGGTTTAAACAGTCTGCTGACAGCCATGGGCTCACCCTGTGAGTGACAGGAGTTGCATATAGGAAAACTGCTGAGTTTTTGCACCCGGACTGTAGCATTTCAATGAAATGGGAAAGTTTTCTAGTGTGGGTGACTTCACTTTGCACACCTCTGCTACTGACTTCTGGACAAGTGGAGCTGCACCAGGCAAGCAGTCTCACTGCTGTCCTGCTCTGTTGGAAGAGAGAGTGCAGAGAGACGCCCCAGCACATGCTGATGGGTGTGCAGGATGAACACGGGGGTGGGATCAAAAATGGGAGCTGACTTATGTACTCATAATGAAGGAGAGAAAATTGTATTCACCATGATTCCTCTTCAAGAGAACCCTGAATATATCTGGATACAGAAACACTTCAACAAGCCACCTGGGGTGGAAGGTGAGACCCAAGAGTATATTTAAGCCAGAAAGTTATTATTAACTGCTCTGCATGAGATAAGAAGAATTTGTGACAATCATAAGAGGGAGAGGAGAGGAAAGAAAAGAAAAAGAAAGGGGAAGTCGGCGGTGGTGGTGGGGGGCAGGTGGTGTGAGAGAGGCCAGCAAGAAGTAGAAGGCTTCACCCTGTGTGAGGGGGGCCTGTCACCAGGGCCCTGGCCCCAGCCCCCAGTTCTTAAATAAAGTGACAAAGCTCACAAAATGCTGGGCTTGAGTGGAGTTTGTGGAGACCCTGAAGAACCTGAGTCTTGGGTCTGGTTGAAGGGGTTGAAATAAAGGCTGCACCCATGTTTGCAAGCATCAGAGGGGAGGAGCCCATAAGCATGTAGCCCTGGATGGTCCCAGGAATCACTTTGCACTTTAATAGGTGGTGGACTTGGTTTTGAGTCAAGTCTATCTTATTCTCCCAAAGGCAGGGGAGGTGAGGAAGCTGATATCAGGTTTTTGTATAGATAGTCAAAGCCAGTAGAATATCTGAAGCTGCCTGTTGATAGTATATTTTGTGTGAGATATGTTATCTAAAATAAAAGGAAATATTATAGAATTTAATGTATTTGGAAATAGGGCCTTTAAAGAGGTAATTAAGGTAAAATGAGGTCATATGGATAGGCCCTAATCCATGTGAGTGACTTAGAGATAGGGCTGTCAAAGGGGTGGCCCAGTTCATCTGAAGCAATTAGATGGGGGCCCTAATCCTATATGATGGGTGTCGTGATTGGAAGGAGAGACACCAGGGTCAGGGGCTGGGTGTGCCCAGAGGAAGGACCATGTGAAGGGGTAGTGAGAGGGCACTCATCTGCAAGCGAGAGGGAGGCCTCAGAGAAAACCACCCCTGCTGACACCTTGACCTTGGATTTTCAGCTCCTGGAATGTGAGAAGCTAAGCCACTTGGCCTGTGGTATCTTCTATGGCAGCTCTAACAACTAATAAAAACTAATTCAGAAGGGAATGAGCCAGCGCTGGAGAGAATGGGCCGGCTGGAATGAATTCCGGGCTCTTGTCGCGCCTCCCAGTGAGCATCTCACTCCGCTTTAAGACCCCACCTTCTTCTCCCCTCCCTTTCATTGCTCCCGCTACAACGGCCTTCACGTTGCTCAGATTCTGGTCCTGGCAATCTTACGTCTGCCAAAATATGGGGAGAAACACTTCCTAACTAGTGGAGATTGCGAATCCTCTGAAGCCACTCTGGACTTGCAGTCTGTCTGCTTCCTGGCTTGTCTTTGTTCTCTCTGGACAAAAATAATGAACCCCTGAGGAGGCCCAGGGATTTAAAAAAATAATAACTAAACTACTCAAGGACTTACAAAACAGTAGTAGCCTGTAATTCTACTTTTTATCTCTCCTGAAAGAGAAACATTGTCCCAATACTTACAGCATTTATTGTATCTTACAGGAAAGCTCTTATTTCTGGTTCAGAGACTTACTGTGGTACATATAATTATATTCTGGAGACAACATTGTTAAAAATTTGGGTGTTCGTGCTAAAAGTGATTTTTTAAAAATACATAATTACCTATTAATTCTCTCAAAATGGTGTGATTTGCCCTTTTTTTTGTCATAACTCATCTGAAACAAGTGGTTCTTAAAGAGAAACTCTGAAATAACATGGGTGCCTTGATGTAGTGAAAAACTCTACAACGCATGGTGATTTCTGCAGGAACATTAACCTGAAGTCATAACAATGGGTAATATTTTAATGTAATGGAAAATGATCATTAACTTTTCTCGAAAGGAAGGAAATGAATTTTCCTTATTGTACACATTCTGAGAAAAGTAGGTATGAAAAAAATTTCAAAGGATGTTCTTTCAGCAAGAATAGGCTTCAAGTACCATCATGACAATAGCTTCGTAGAGTCTGGTGTCAGCAAACTGAATAGAGTTTTGAGGAACAGAATGTGGTTCAAAGTCTCTCAGAAATACATGTAAATGAATTTGAGATTTTAGAAGGGGATTAATCCTACACAGTCAAGTACCTTTCTCAGGGGTCTTTCTCACACCTCATGTCATTAGGTTCCTCTGCCCCACCCTCTCAAAATGAATATTCTATTAAACCTCCATAAGCCCATTTCATCTTAAAATGGTGCTTAGTAGTATTACAAGTGCACATTCATTAAATATTCTATGTAAGTCACAAGAACTTCAAAATATTTTTGTAAGATACTTGGAGCCTTGGTATAAATTGTTTCCCAGAAGTCATTAATCTCAAAAGTTCTCTTTGTTACAATCTCAATTTGGTCCTTGTCCTTATGCCACCACCCCTCAACCTTGTCCCACTTCTTGTTACTTTTTTCTTCATTTTTCTGTTTCCAAATTCCTCAGCTGCCCAAATACAAACTGTCTGGAGTAGATGCCACCCTGAGATCTCCTCCCAATATTTACAAGTCTAGCCAAGAGACATCAGAGACCAGATTCATTAATTCCATGATCAAACATCAGTTATGGAAGTTAAAAAGAAGGTGGACCAATTTTTAACCCATCAAAATAAAGTAACCAGTTGATTCAATCCTTTATTTTTTCTTTGGTGTTTTCAGGGATCACGGACATGGGGCCACAGTGCTCCGAGGGTCTCTCCTTGTGGCCCACACTGCTTGTCTCGCTGGTCTGTGGACAGGTGTTTACTTGCATGGTCATTTGCTATTTATAGAAATGGAAATATGGCCCTTGCACCTGCCCCACCATCATGAAGCTGCCTGTCACACAGAGTTCCTTCCCACCATGCGAGCCCAGACAGTGGTTCCAAGGCACATTGACCCCTGTTTGTGGCTGGAAGGACTGTCTGCAACTGGCATCATTAATGAAAATCTTTTCCTGCCTCTCAGGTTGTCATTACAGACCAACTTTTTGTCCACATTACTCCTCTCATCCCACTGTCCTGCTGCCCCTGACACCCAGGGAAGGAAATTTCTGCTGGACAGACTCCTACTTAAGTGCAGGCAAAATGCTGGCTAAGCCTGCTGTGGTCTCACGCTCCTCCCCAGCCCCTTCCCGCACTCCTGCCGCTGGACTGACGATGGCTGTGGGGGCTCCCTCGGGCCTGTGGCAGCCACGGCCTGGCCACAGAGCTCTTCCGTGA